CATTTTCTCTACTAGCTTCTGTTATACCCGGATGATAATCAACCTATGTCCATCAGAAATAGTGTAATTGGACTTCTCTGTATGAAACACAATATGGAATAAAGCAACCCATGCCAGTTTCTTGCTGATTCTACTCAATACAAGGACTCCCGTGGTAAATTTGCGAATGTATAGCATAGCTTGTAACAGCCTGGACAAAATGATATTGCATTTTTAAATTACTTCCAGACATAAAGGAACAGTTGCTTTTCGATTTGTCTATATCCATCAGCATTTAATTATCCAGTATAGGACATACACCTCCTCCAACTCCTTTCCGCGTGATCTGCAGGTTAACAATATCGTCAGACCATCTTGCCTTCGGTTCCCTGATTTTCTAATTTACACAAATTTAAACAGAAATCGCTCACTCGTGTCCACATGACTCTGTAATCCAACTGTAAATATACTACACATTATTCTACACATGAGCAAAAGTAAATTTAAATTATAATCGTCGACAAAACTACAATCATTCGAAATGTACCAAACAACGAAACGATTTCAAAGTCAAATCCATTCTGTAAGTCAAATAACAGTTAAGTTATTAAAAGTTCTACATGAAGTGGAACTAAAGGATTCCCTTTGTTAATTCATTACGAAACGCGATCCGACAAAAGGTCGTGCGGTAAACCAGAAAGAGAGAGACGTATGTTTGTTAGGGTTAGTGTGAAAGAAATGGTTGTTTGACACATCATTTACACATCAGATGACTGGCTTTTGCACAAGCTGACTTTCAACCAGCTGAAATTGCCCACTCGAATAATTAAGGAATTATATAGAGTTGCTAATCACTCATAAATTTGCGCGTAAATGAACGCACGTTTGGGCGTCCATTTTGTCGTGTTCCATCGCGTGTTGTTTAATACCTTAGAATGAAATGAATATAATATATATTAATCCATCATCATCATCAGCCCTTTTACGTCCCCACTTCAGGGGCTCAGGCCTTCATTATGGATGGTTAAGGTGGATGGGCCATGACCCTCCACGCTGGCCCAATGCGGATTGGAGGGTATTAACGATCTCAAATGCAGCCGGGACCAACGGCTTAACGTGCCTTCCGAAGCACGGAGTAGTTCGAGACAATTTTTTTTGGTCACCCATCCCGTGAGCGATCCTTGCGAAAGTTGCTTAACGACAACGATCGCGGGCCGCGGCGCGTATCCACTACCACACATTATAGTCCATTAAAGAAGAATTTACAACATTATTACATGGGATATCCATGAAAGTGATACCTACTATACGTACCATTACACAGCGCAGTCTGTTCCCATTCTCGTGGATTCGTCGTGATGTGCAGACGTTTGGGTAACCTTTCTAAATAATACTGTCACTCTGACTGTTGTTATATTGAGTAAGTGATTCTTACATTTAAAATACGATAAGCTGTATAGATCAGTTAATTGGTGCTGTTGTTATTAGTTTTAACGTTATTCAAAAGTTAAAGTTAGTAGTTTTCTAATCATATTATAGTTACAGACCATTCAATGATAATATGAAATAGTCGAGTTTCATATTATAAACATATATGAAGAAAGAGGGGCAATGGGACATTTGAGCAGTCCAAACTAAAGAACAGAGTAGTCAGAGCTGGCCTATTTCACCCTCGCTTGACTAGTTCGAAATAATAATTAATATATCATGAACAACTCTGTATCGATACCCCACGAAGAAGCGGTAAGTTCAAAAGCTTCCTCAGCAAGCTCACGGACTCTCATACACTATTCAGTAGAATGTTGTAGACACGACTATATAATGCACTGGGAAAATGTCTCTTTAAAAACTATACACAAAAATATATAAAGACAAATATTTAGAGCTAAGTCTTTTGTGCACTGTTGTACAATGGGGCTTTGTTATTCGCCGCCCCAATTATTATGAGGATTCCCTGGCATGATATAAACTTGTAACAATTTTAGTTGCTTTTGTTTTGGAGACAACGGAGTGGGTGTTGGTAGATGAAAATGTGTAAACTGGACATTTAATTTTGTTTCCGTCTATCATCTCCTATTGGAAGTGGCAGTTATAAGCAAACAAGAGAAATATAAACAAAAATTATGTTCCTTGTGTTTTTGTTCAAGACTGTTTATCTAATTAAAGAAATTGTCAAAATTTATACATTTGCTATCATGGTGATTAATGTAGAAGCATCTATACATTCTGTCAATTTTCTCTTTAATACTTTGATGGTTGAGTTTAAAATCGATTGAGAAAATTTAATATATTGTGGTAACCGTGCAGATGTATATACAAAATGAAGTTAATTTAGCACATTTTATCTGTTCGGTTCATAACCACACGTGTAATATTAGCATTATGTATGCTAATATTATATTACGATTAATAACAACGTATCTAAAGTAAGTTATTGTCCGCGCTATACTCTTACATAACATTTTGTGAACATTTAATAAATATAACGTAATTTCCATAATAAATTTTATGATTTCACCAAGCAAAGGCACCAACACAATCGTTAGTTTTTTAATCTAAATTGCCTCTAGAATCTACCGCAGTATAGCTATTGTAGTACTGTAGGTAGAATATTATGATTATTAATAATGCATATGATTACATGTATTATTAATTAGGATCAACAAAAATGTACCATATTATCTATAATTATCTCTTAATATTTTATTCAAATGGATAAAACCTATTCAAATGGATAAAACCTTTTCAAAATATTTATATATCTATCCTTTTTATCTACGTGATCTGCTGTACACTGTACAAAATTGAACGTCATTAAATCGGCACAGGCATAAATTATTATCAATGCATAGTAGTAAAAAGTAGCTTTCTGTCTGTCCTATGTATGCTTAGATCTTTAAAACTACGCAACGGGTTATGATGCGTTTTTTTTTAATAGATAGGGTGATTCAAAAGAAAGATTTGTATGCATAATACAGGACCACACAGGCGAAGCCGCTGGTGTAAGGCTAGTATATTATATTTGTTTGTTTATGAGTCTATCCTTGTTCAATTGAGATATATCCATATTTAAACAGAATAAATAAAAACTTTCTTCCTTCCTTCACGCAGCGGAGGGGAGTTGAACCATCTTTTAATTAAAACCTTTGCCAAATTAATCTGAACCGAACAAGTGCGGTTAAATTTGAACCTCAACATTTTATACTTAAACTTGTTTTTATAAGTGCTTAAATTTGTATAGGAAGTATAAAAGTCGCCCAGGATGAACACTTTGCGACGCTTCTAACTAATTTTAGTATGATTTGAGAAATTTTAACGAAGTAATAGACATTTATAATTTATGAGAAGTATGGGTTATTCAATAATATATTTTTAATAAGCATTATGTCTACTACGAGGGTCAAACTGAAAGTTCTTAGAACTGGCCACTTATAAACAATATAATAAAAAAATAATTCTAAAATTTGAAAATATAACTCTTTGCCAATATTACTGAGTATATATTTCATTCATTTGTCATTTGTTTTACGATTTGGCGGCAAATTGAAAATTGTCTGTGTCACGTCATCATGAATTTAACACGAGAAAATTTTCGTGCAATGATTTTTTATGACTTTCGATGTCATTTAAGTCAACAAGAAAGTTATGATAGACTACGATTGGCCTTTCACGATGAAGCCCCATCTCGTGCGACTGTTTACAACTGGTTTAATGAGTTTAAACGTGGTCGCACTAATCTCACTGATGATTTACGTGAGGGACGGCCTTCTACGGCGACGACTGAAGATAACATCTGTGTTGTGCGGCGTATGATAGAGACTGACAAAAGAGTGACCTATCAACAGATTCGGACAAGCTTAGGCATCGGTATGAATCAAGTGCACAAAATCCTCCACGAACATTTAGCGGTCAGGAAGCTTTGCGCCCGGTGGATACCTCATAATTTGACTGAGGCTCAAAAACTCCATCGTGTGGATTGGTGTCGTAAAATGATTGAAAGATTTAACGGAGGTGACTCAAATGCTGTGTTCGACATACTAACAGGTGACGAAAGCTGGATTTACTGTTATGATCCTAAAACCAAAAGACAATCTGCTCAGTGGGTGTTTCCTTTCGAGTTGTTGCCAACTAAAGTGAAGAGAGATCGAAGTGCGGGAAAAAAAATGGTGGCCTCGTTCTTTGGAAGGATAGGTCATTTTGCAACAATTGTGTTAGAGGATCAAAAAACAGTTTCTGCAGAATGGTACACTACCAATTGTTTGCCACTTGTCTTGGAAAAAGTTCGAGAGAAACGACCTCGCAGTAGGATCCTCCTTCACCACGACAACGCCTCGTCGCACACCGCCAAGCGAACGATCGACTATTTGGCGACATCAAACGTTGAATTACTGGGTCACCCGCCGTATAGCCCCGACCTCGCGCCTTGTGATTTTTATTTATTTCCAAAAATTAAAGAAAAACTTAAAGGAAAGCGGTTTATGAATGCTGAAGAAGCGGTGGCTGCGTATCGCGATGCCATTGAAGAGACCCCTAAGGACGAGTGGGCAAAGTGCTTTTCCCAGTGGTTCCATCGCATGCAGCGGTGTATTGACGTGAATGGACAATATTTTGAAAAGATATAATAAAACTAATAACTGGCTAATGTAATCAGTTTTTGATTTTCTAAGAACTTTCAGTTTGACCCTCGTATTAATCGGACTTAAATAACAAGTTGATTGAAATCATTCAACATTAATAATAAAAGCTGTTGATCCAAGGTTATACCCGTTCTAAGTCTATGGCAGGTACTCTGATATTCAAAGGAGTTCTTATTATGAAATTGCATGTAAATAATTCTCTTTGCACATTTCCTATGTAATAGAGCTTGTCAAAATTTTTAAATTCAAATGATTTTGGACTAGAATTTTTTCATGACTATCAATTGTTTTGTGGTGATTTGTCGAGAAGGTCGTGCATACCAATAATCTCAATTGGTGAACTAATTAAATTGATAATTCCATAGTTTATAGTGAAGCTTAATAATGAGGGAAATAGTGCACATACAAGCAGGGCAATGCGGAAACCAAATTGGTGCTAAGGTAATTGTCGTACACTTTTTCCTAAAGTCATAAGAAAAATACTTAAAAACTTCGATAAAGTCCAGTCCGTTCTTATACTCGTATTTAATATATATCATTTAGCATTGCAAATATTAAAATTTATAAAAAAATACATATTAGACCATCTTAGTAGAAAGTTTTAATAGAATTGTAAAAAAAGTTTTCCGCTTTTTGGATAGATAACATTGACGCAAATACGCTTACATTAACAGTTATGGAAAATTCGTCTATATTGGGTAGCTCGATTGGTTACAGACTCTAGTTCAAATCCTATCTCGGACACTCTTTTTAGCATTTTTTACAAGAATAAATAGAATAGATCTTATGTAGTCTTAAATTACCCAACAAAAGTTAACACTACGTTTTCTTCTAATAAAATTGTTTGTTTTTAGTTCTGGGAAGTTATATCAGATGAACATGGCATCGATCCTACCGGCACGTACCATGGTGACTCCGACCTACAGTTGGAGAGGATCAACGTATACTACAACGAAGCCACGGGAGGAAAATATGTACCAAGAGCTATACTCGTGGACTTAGAACCAGGGACCATGGACTCTGTACGCTCCGGCCCATTTGGACAGATCTTCCGCCCAGACAATTTCGTCTTTGGCCAATCCGGCGCAGGCAACAACTGGGCAAAAGGACACTACACCGAAGGCGCAGAATTGGTAGACTCTGTCCTCGACGTCGTCAGAAAAGAAGCTGAGGGTTGTGATTGCTTACAAGGCTTCCAGCTCACACACTCACTAGGAGGAGGCACTGGTGCAGGTTTAGGAACACTTCTGATTTCAAAGATCCGAGAAGAATACCCCGATCGTATCATGAACACATTCAGCGTTGTACCCTCTCCGAAAGTATCGGACACTGTTGTTGAACCATACAACGCTACATTGTCTGTACATCAGTTGGTGGAAAACACTGATGAATCCTACTGCATCGATAACGAGGCGCTTTACGACATTTGTTTCCGTACGCTGAAGCTGACTACACCCACATACGGCGATTTGAACCACTTAGTCTCCGCAACTATGTCTGGCGTCACCACTTGTCTCAGATTCCCTGGTCAATTGAACGCGGATCTAAGGAAACTAGCTGTAAATATGGTGCCCTTCCCTCGCTTGCATTTCTTCATCCCTGGATTTGCTCCTTTAACGTCTCGAGGAAGCCAACAGTACCGTGCCCTTACTGTTCCCGAACTGACTCAACAAATGTTTGATGCAAAGAACATGATGGCTGCGTGTGACCCACGCCATGGGAGATATTTGACAGTAGCCGCAGTTTTCAGAGGCCGAATGTCTATGAAGGAGGTTGATGAACAAATGATGAACATTCAAAACAAAAACTCATCATACTTTGTAGAATGGATTCCAAACAATGTGAAGACTGCCGTCTGTGATATCCCGCCTCGTGGATTGAAAATGTCTGCAACATTTATTGGAAACTCGACTGCTATTCAAGAATTGTTTAAACGTATTTCTGAACAGTTCACTGCCATGTTCAGACGTAAGGCATTTTTGCATTGGTATACTGGTGAAGGAATGGATGAGATGGAGTTCACAGAAGCAGAGAGCAATATGAACGATTTGGTATCAGAGTACCAGCAGTATCAGGATGCTACTGCTGAAGAGGAAGGTGAATTCGATGAAGAAGAAGAGGGAGGCGACGAAGGGGACTAGACTATATTTTTCTTAAGATTTTCATTATTATATTGTATATTTTTATACTTTATCGTTTTATTATATTTTGTGGATAGTCTACTGTCGTTTTACTAGAATTTAGGGTCGGTGTAAATCCTAATGAAAACTACTACATATATGTATGTCATAGATGACTAGGAATAACCCGTTTAGTCAGTTGTACATATGTTCCCCTTTATTAAAAGACAATGTCCAAATTTAGCCTATGAACCTGTAAGAATATCTTGTATATCGTAATTCTTATCATATTTTATGATTAATATATCAGCTTTTAAAATCAAACAGACACTGCCCATTTTTGTAATTACATTAAAAAGTAATATCAATACATTTGATAAGCTTCAATAAATGCTGCCACCATATTTTAATAAGTTGACAAATCAGGATCTATGCACAATTTGATGTATAATCAACCAATGAGCACTTAAAGCGCTTGACATTAAAACGAGACTCAAAATGTTCGTAGATTTTTAAGCGGCTGGAAGCGCTCATTTATTCTTTTACATACGTTTGACTGTTTTGAACTTTTGAAGTTTTGTTTGACAACAACAACAAACAACCGACAAGGTAGTCTATTCTTGGTTCTAGCAGTGTCATTGCACTTTTCTGTTAGTAGATTCTCGTTTGCAGCATGGAGTATAGACATGCTCCCGATACAGCAAGAATCGCCATCTATTACGTAGAACAAAAACATAACTCGCGAAATGTGGGTGCATAAATGCATCTCGGCCTATCTTTTCGCAGATACGGGCGTGGAACTACATAGTTTCACTGCCTACTTATCTATATACATACATATATATCTAGGTAAATAGGTAGTGTAAAAAATATTAATATTCCATTATTTTAGGTACCCAAGATTGTAAAATATAGATAGGTTTATAGGATTAGAAATAAACTACGAATTCACACTACGAACTTTCATCACTGGTTGTTATCGAGATTTCATGTCTGTTATGAAATCTCGAGAACAATCAGTAACCTCAAACCTGGATTCTAAGCTCCGAAACTGTTTTTAAATCAAGCTAAGTAAGAACCTACAGAACCTAGCTATATTTAAAGCAAAGTAGACATACATTTCCCTACAAAAAGCAAGTAAAACAATCATTAAAAAGAATCTATCCGTAGTTAAATTATAACCTCAAATCCAAACTATATTTTTTATTTATACATTTCTTAGAAGTGTCCGTTACTTAAACATGTATTTAGACGTAAATACAGATACTTTAGAACACGAAAATTGATAGTACATGCTTAGAGGTTCTTAGGCGAAAAATGTATGGGGGCTGAACATTGTCCTTTAATACTAATTTAAAAACCGCCTTGAGTTTGTCGTCAACCGCAGCGCCGTCATAGTCCAGAAGTTCATGTGAATCGTACTTCAAAAGAAGATTTAATTTATTAAAGCTTTGTCACAGCGATTCCCTCTACGACGAGTTCAAATTTGTTTAGCCATTGATAAAACTGTAATATATAATTAAAAATGACTAAATTGTAAAATCTATGGGTCTTAAAGGATTTTAATTCTTCTTTTAATGACAAAAGATTCAGGTATTATTTGGTTCACAGGTTATCAATTTTATTTACCTATATGTATGAAATTTCGTTGGAATGGTATTGTAATATTGGTATATGCTTCCAAACCCGTAAATTTTGTTGGTTCTATTCACAAGGTCCGTACCCAACTACAAATAGTTTACACTAAATTAATGAATATAAAAGTTGTTTCATTAAAATTAACCTTTTAAATGAACTGGAAATTGCAACGCGTCGTGTCCAGTGCCCATTCTTGCCGTGTCGGTTGCATTAACCGCATCGTTGCCCAACAAAATATTACCATAAAAGCATGATCGCTTTAATCAGGTCGTTTGCTTCAGCTTACTTAAATAAATTACGAAAACTCCAACAAGTATGTGAACTCACGGGGAAGGATTTTCTGTACTGGCAACTAGCTATTTACGCTTAGGAACATTTTTATTTTTTATTTTTGTATTCTGTACAGCATACTTATTTAATTTTAATTCATATCTTATTACATACACTAAAAAAATGGAATAAAGAATTATCACATATTTATTACTATCACAATCTGACTTCAGATTTGAATATAATGAGAAAGTATTAAAAAAACGAAAGCACTAAAAAAGCACCTCCACTAGATGGCGACTCTAGCAAAATTTGATTTTTGCAGGAAACGAATGGACCAAAGAAAGTAATTTCCGTTCCTTTTAACTAAGATATTAAAAAACTGAATTTGAAAAGTTTGTCACTTAGATAACAATACAAATACGAAAAAGTACAAATAGAATATTGAGCTGTGTATTGAGTTTTGAAAACTAATTTACTTTTAAACATGAAAGAAAACCGGAAGGGTTGTCATGGAGAAATCAAGAATGTACCGTAGCGACATCTAGTGTTATTTCGGGAACTAATTTTTTTAATACTTCCCCATTGCAACACATTCTCCTGTTTGAGTAGATTAACGGTCAGATGCACAAAGGTCCATTAAGGTTTAATGACGCCTTTAAATTCTAATGAATGTCAAATTTGTATTAATGGACGTTAGTGCAACTGGCTGTAAGTTATTGTAGTACTTTTTACGAGGCAACATTCTAACACAATCGTGATAAACTGTAGTCTTCAAAGCTAAACAGCAAAGTGAATTATACCGCTATAACAAATAGAACAGGCGAGCTGAATTTTCATATCGATACAGTAGTTTCATAGCCTATTCAATGCAGATAAACAAACAAACAAGTCTATCCTCTTTATAATATTAATTAATTTCTTGATTGACATCATAAACATTTTTTATATGCATAATTATATACGATTATGAGAACACGAAAATAAGACAAACTTAGATCACTAAAGGCATCACAGCCAATATTAGTGTTACCCAGGTACATTAGGTACGAAATCAACATCTCAACTAACTTAGTGCCATTACAATAAGGGTCAAATTCGAGGAAATGGTAGACAAGGTCCCCCGCTAGCTGTAGAAATCGATACGCGACGGCTGCAGTGCTATTTTGGAACAATGACCGCCAATTATAACATTCCAAATTCTAGTTAAATAGTACCATTTATAAGCTTAGATACTTGAAATTGTAAGAAATATATGCAGTTGTTTTATCATCTCTGAACTTGTGCTTCATTATATTAAGCTGTATAAACTTTATGCAGTTTCAGCTGCTATGATGAGATAAGCGCGCCGAGATCACCCGCACACAGCGCGCTGATCTTGTTGAAGAGTGTGATGTGACATTATTATACCAACGCATTCGCCTGCGAAAGCGAAACTATAGCGTATGCAAAACATCTGCGTCTGTGGACTGACGTTTTTCGCAGCTGCTTGCGTAACAGTGCAGCCAAGAACCCAGCTATTTCGCCGAGCTAATAATTGAACGAGACAAAGAACATGCTCCGCATTCACATGCGATTGTCTCTGCGTTAATGTGACTAATCAGGGGGCCAATTCTACTAAACAAATTTTGTTTAAATCGAATCGAAAACGGATCGAAACCGAACGAAACTACAGTTTTCAATGGTTTTTCTATTCTACTAAGTGACATACGATACAATAGGGATGATGACTGGGTAAAAAAAATGCAAATCTATTTAATCCGTCAGTCAGATAATAGAAAAATATTAGATACGTATTTTTTTTTCTTCAATTTAACAAGAAATAGCTTAGATAACAGGCATTAAAGTTGAGGAGTGGGGGCTCGCTACGTCACAGTTGAGTAGAAAACGTACTCTAACGTGACGTCATGCGAAATTTCAACTTAATGTAACACCGTAATTTTATGATTACGAAAAAAATAAAAAAATACGTGTTTAATATTTTTTAACACTACCTGACGGACAAACAAACAAAAATTAGTCATCATCCCTATTACAGCTAAAATAGAACTAGAATTGTATCGTATGTCACTTTGTAGAGTAGGAAAAATTTATTTAGTAGAATTGGCCCCCTGAATGCCTAGCATGACGAAAAGATGTCCATTACGGTGATAGGGAAAAAGATTTGGACGATTCAAAAGTACTTGTAAGAACTTATTTGAATACAGTATTTTTCGTTTTCATTCAAATGTGACATTTGGTTTAGGCAAAACGTTTCCCCAGTTTATTATGCTACACGTACATGTACTAATATATTTAGGCCAGTCAAATATAGGCTATTAACTGTTAAGCAACCAAATAATTACGAGTATTTATTATTTGAGATATCAAGTTATCATACACGTTTTTTTTTTTCTTTCAGGGCCCGGCATAAAGGGCACCATGGCCATCCTGAATTGTCTCCTCGCCCGCCAACTCTGCTTCGAAGACGCCTCTTGCTCTGCTATCTTGGAAATAATCCCTCGTGTCTGTGGCTCTGAACTTGGTAAGTTTAATTTACTTGATAAATGAGTGATGCGATTCGAGACTTTTTATTCTAGCACGAGTGTTAAAATTTATTCGAGTGACTCGAGTCACTCTAATGAACTTTTCAAACTCGTGCTAGAATGAAAAAATGTCATGCGAGTCTCTATGCACTCGAGTTCATTCTCTTGCTACATGTCAAAATATGTCAAAACTCTATTAATGTTATATAGATATTTGTTTAAAATTATTGTGAGATAATTAAATGGCTCGAGTGACTTGAGTCACAAAATCCTACTCGAGTCGCATCACTATGATAAACATTGGATCCACTCTTGTGCTGGTCTGCAAAATATAAAATGAACTCTCTAATTATTTAATTTCTATAGCAAACCCTTTCAAAGGTATAGCGATTGTCATAACATTTAACAATTTACTGACTTCTATAGACATACACGTGACATAATCAATATTATCTATACTAATATTATAAACTCCTGGATTTTATAAATTCTTTTATAGGAGTCGATATTTTTAAACTATATATAATGAACAGCAGCTCTACCGGTTTTCCAAAGAAAATCGCAGTGTCATTATTATGCAAAGTTTGTCTACCTCCAAGATCTTAAAGAAAATGCGAAATCAAAGGGAGTCTTTTGTTAAGAAACTGCCATTATGCATGAAGATACATGAGCGAGAATAAGAACACATATACACTGTGGACATATTCATAAAGTCAAAGAAAACTCCTTAACTTTTCTGTAAATAAACCGGCCAAGTATGAACCGGACTCGCGCAAGAATAGTTCCATAACATTATCTATAAAAAAATGAAAAAGAAAATACCTTTTTTACGGGATTTTAATGTTTATTTTGTTCTTATTTGTTTGTGAAAATTTCAACTGTCTAGCTAGCATCGTTCATGCCATGCCTGGTAACATAAAGACAGACAGAGACACGACCAGCGGAGTCTTAGTAATAAAGTCTCGTTTTACCCTTCGTGTACGGTAACCTAAAAACGAGCTAGGCAACATCTAGCTCAGCTCTGTGAGCGCATAGACTTCATAATGTGAAATAGAGCCTTTATTACCTCTATACAAAGCTTTAAATTTGATTGTATCGTGGCAGACATCCAACCTGCCAATATTTTTCTTAGTCTAGATAACTACGTAGGCTTGTTAAAGATGTCATTCCGAAGTGATGAACAT